AACGGCTCAACACGAAGCAGCTAAAGGCTCAACACGAAGCAGCTAAAGGCTCAACACGAAGCAGCTAAACGGCTCAACACGAAGCAGCTAAAGGCTCAACACGAAGCAGCAGCCGGTGTTTACGTTCAGAGCAGGTCAGAGTTGGATGTTCTTACCACACGAGCTCTCGTCGCTGCCGTCGCTGCAGTCCTCGTCTCCGTCACACTGCCACACCGACGGGAGGCAGCGGCCGTTCCCACACTGGAACTGGTTTGCTTCACATTCAGTCTTCGTACCTGCATAAAAACAAAGAGGGGGAAATGAAGGAACTGTCAATCTGGTTTGAACCGTCTGCAGAAAATCCTGCTAAACAAAATAAACAGTTTTAACATGAAACCAAACGTTTCAGACTGTTCCTTCAGTAATCATCATGGAGATACTTTCCATCCAGCTCCAACTGAACAGTAACTAATCTGCTGCGTTCACACCTCTGTAATCTTAATCTCCGAGCTCAGACCTTAAGAATCTGCTGCAGAATCAATAATCCACGTTGAACATTGCAAAGGAAATTATAACTATGCACTTGGATTGAATTTCCTCCTTCATAAAACAGACTTTAAAGATCTTGTGTCCAACCCTGTTTGTAGCCAGTCTGTGTTCCCGCCCCCTCCAGGCTCCTCCAGGATCCTCCAGGATCCTCCAGGCTCCTCCAGGATCCTCCAGGCTCCTCCAGCTGCCTGCACATACCGAACTCTCAGAACAGTTCGGCTCCGCGGGGAAACTTTGGATGTTCTGAATCTGCCGGACCCGGTTCTGCGGTCGTTATGCCGCCAACAGAACCACTAACCATTCTAGGCCCATGCTTCTGTAGAGTCATTTCTTTCTCTCTTCTGCTGCTTCGTTTTGAATTTGTTGCACGCTTTGACATTTCTCGTTTGTTTTTTTGGCCAGTCGAGACGGTTCTTCTCGTCCCGAACATTTCATTGTTGACCTGCATGTGACAAACCCAACCTGAACTTAAGGCGTGCAGGTCCACTCTGGCCCTTTAAAACATTTCATCTGGTCCCCTGGGATACATTTTAAATCAGACATAACTGGAAGTGATTGAAGCTCAGTTCAGACTCATCGTGGACAAGTTAGAAAACGGAAAATCAATCATTTGATTTTTGATTTAAAGAATACTAAAAAGAAAAAGACTGGGCCGATTGAATTTGTGAACTCGTAGCAGAAAGATGGAGACAATGTTTTTATTGGTTAAGGCAGAACATATTAGTTATAAAATAAATAAGCAAGAGTCAGGTTGTTCTGAGCCACTTTAGTTATGAAACCTTCCAATAATCAACAGCTTGAATTTGGATCAATTCATAATGAGAGTTTTAAAACTAAAGTTACTAAAATATGAAACCTGGGCCGGTCTGAATGAATCCATTATTCAAGTTTTGTTTGGTTTATTAAAAAACATCCACAAAAAACAGCTTCCAGCAAAATAAGACTTTAGATTTAAAAAATTTTTAACTTGCACATCAGGTTAAATGTTTAATGGTTTGAGAGGATCCGTTTTATTTACGGACTCTTAAGGTTCTTCCGGCAGCGCAGACCGGGCCTTAAAATACCCGACCTTGAAGTTCTTTAGTCTGGACTGGTCCAGGTGGGAACACAGTGAGCCGCTCTGAGGTCAACCAGCAGCTGGAAACTGAAACGTTTCCATCAGTGACAGAAGACCCGAGTTCTGACAGAACCCTGTAAAGTGGGTCAGCAGCTCCTTTAGTCAGAACCAGGGAGCTCCGGGTGTTTTATTCAATAAAGCGACACGTCGTCGACTCTGCGCGAGTGAAGCGATGCCCCAGATCTGAACGGAACAGATTTATGGACCCGGGCTGCAGCTGGGACCGGTTTTTGTTCTGATGTTAAAGACTAAATTATTAAAAATACTCAAACCGGGTCAACGCAGCTCAAAAACCTGGTTTACTGTGGAAAAATACCAGAACAAACCATCTGGCTGTTCACAGACATGTTGGACAACTTCAGCAACCCAGAAGTTGAACGGACGGTTCCTGAAGGCAGCACCACGAGTTCTGATAACCCAGACTGGAGCCGGACACCGACCCAAACCACAACATGCGAGTTTCATGTCGCCCAGTCTGGTTATTCATTCTCAGAGCTTCAAACCAGTTCCTCCCAAGAACTTCGTATTGAGGCGGTGGACGACACGCATCAACCGTCCACGCAGGTAAATGGACTGCACCTATACAGCTCCTTCCCCTCTGATCAAGACACTCAGCTCTTTACAATCTGTGCCTCATGTACCATTCATCCAGCTCTATACTAGATCTGTACAAAGAACAATCAGAGCGTCATCACATTCATACACTGATGGGACACAGGCAACAAGGGTTCAGTGTCTTGCCCAGGGACACTTCAGCACGTGACTGCTGGTGGAATCAAACCCCCAGCTCTCACACTGGAGGACAGCTGCTCTAACCGCTGAGCCACAGCTGCCTCATAAAGGTGAAGCACCTGAGCAGGAGGAGCGTCACAGAACCCAGAAACACCTGGCCTCAGGTGAGCTCAGCACTGGTTCCTTCCTTCATCGTTTGCTTGTCATTTAATCCTCTCATGACGTGTCCGTCAGAATGCTTATCGCCCGTCACATCCGGCATCAAACCAAGACCTCATGATAAGCGACAAGTTCACTTTAGTCAAATGACGAGATCTCAGCTGAGCAGACCTTCAGCTGCTACACCAAACTTTAGCTCAACGTTTAAAAACAGCAAATCAACGCGTCCACTGAAATGGCTCAGCTGTAGCGGCCATCTTGAACTGACCTATAAGAGGAGGCAACGATGTCATTTAACCTGAAACTGTTGAGTGGATCATGAGGTACGCTGCAGAACAGAAACTGGGAAAACCATGATCACCCGTCGGCGGGTGATAGAGTAACATCCAGAACATGATCAGCCATCTTTAGGTCGTATCTGAAGATGCATCAAAGGGTTGTCAGCAAAATATCTCCGGAACCACTGGACTGACTTTAATGACGCTTTAGGAAGTTTCTGGATAAACTTCTGCAGCCGAGCCAACCAGATTCAAAATGGCCGCCACAGCCAGTCAACCTTTAACCTACAAACAACTCCAACTCAGTCAGTGCTGCAGATGGGGAGCTAGAAACTGGGGTAGTAGCTGAGAGTCATCCAACAGGATGCTCAAGATCTTTGCTTAAAACTAAACCTGCTGGGGTCAGCAAAAAGTGTTAGCAAAATATCTCAACCCACTGGATGGACAAACTTGAAGCCATCTCAGCTTCAAAATTACACTTTCCTACTTTAAGATGCTCAATGTCCTTCAAAAAATTACTACGGTTGACTCCACAGTTTTCAGTCTCTTCAGAAGAAAAATAATAAAATGCACCTTTTTGGACCGGCACCTGATTTTTTTTGTTTGTTTGTTTACAGCCAATATTTTAGACTCAATATCTGAAGTAAAGAAACAAAACAAGCTCAATATTTTCCTGTTTGCATCACAGCCTCGTCTCATTTCTCCAAACTGAGGTTACTGGAGGAGTCATCCACTGCAGGTAAGATATTAACTGTTCATACCTTCAACATGGTGACATCCTTTCAAATAACTGCAAGTATTATAACCCAGCAGATAATTGCTTTCAAACCATGTTTTTAGTAAAGCACCTCTTTGTTGATAAAATGTTTATACAAAAATAAAAAACACGTTCAAGAAGAAAAAAAAAAAAAAAAAACTGCTGCAAAACGTAATTTTATTTGCATCAATACCAAAGCTGAAATATTTAAGTTTATAAACTTTAGCTGTTGTAAGCAGCCGACATTTAATTCAGTTTTTTTTTTAACAAAATGATTAAGGTGATTGCAATAAAAACTTAATTTTAGTTTGTTTAAACTAATAAAGTGCATGTTATTTGTTCTGTATTAAAACAACTAGTTTGTGCTGAAGTGAGAGTTTATTAGAGATAATTATTGTTAAAAAGTTGTTGTGCACGAGAAAAGAAAATTACTGTCTTATGTTAGAAATGAAGGAGTTTCAATAAACTCCAGCTGTTTCAAATAATCATTAAATAAAAAGTATTAAAATAAAGTGACTTAAACTGGACCACTCGGCTTTTATTTACCGACCCGGACAAAATGCAGCAAATTGACCCACTTTAAGACTTTAATCTACAATTAGTTTCTTTTTATTGTTTGTTTATCTGAGGAATAAAATAATTGTACAGAGAGAAGGAGGTGAAACACAGAAGATGTCAACATTTAACAGGTTCATTTAAAAACATTTAATAAATGGAGGTAATTGGTTCAATGAGCACCTGGTGCGAGTGGGGCCTCGGATTACTCATTATCCGAACAGTTTCCAGAAATTAAAATAAATCTCGACCCGCAGGAAGAATCTAATCTGGCTGCTCGTGAACAAATCTGTGAAACGCAGAAAAGTCACGCGCTAAAATGACGCAATTTGGCGTCTTTTCTGCGGCGAACTGAAGCTAACGAGCCCCGGGAAGGAGCCGCTGAAGGCGGTCGTTCCTTCAAGGAGCAGCCGGGAACAGGTGCACGGTTCGGCTAAACGTCAACTAACCCGGTCCGAACCGGTCCGGTCCGAACCCAGACACACACGGAGCGAGGCGGGCACTCACCGTGGACGGTACCGCCGTGCTGGAGACACATTAGCAGCAGCAGGATCCACGGCGTGGACGCGACCATCTCGGTGCTGCTAGCTGCCGCCGCTGGCCTCTTCTTCTTCGGTGGTTTTAAATCTGTCCGTGGAGTCCACGCGCGAGCCGAGCCGAACCGAACACGACGGACAGGGACGTGTTTTTCCTGGTTCGGACCCAGAGGCGGCCGCTGTCTGCGGAGCTGCGACCGGACTGAACGAAGGCGATCCACACGCGCGCGCCACTCGCCCTTTTATTGCGTCCTAGAGCCACGCGCCGCGCGGGCTCCAGCCCCGCCCTCTCTGAGACGTCTTCATAAAAAACTCGGGCTCAGTAACAAGGCGGTATACAGTCTGCTCTTACTGTACTTATTCACAGTTTCATGCGTCTACTATTACATGAAAAGGATAAAACCTCTGAAAATATTCCACTTTTAAATCTGTCGTGTCTAATAGAAATAAAACCAAAACAAGCCCATGCTCAATAAACCAGCTTTAAGTTCGTTTTAGGCTCATTTTATCAAGACAGGGGCGGATCTAGAGAATTTTCTACGAGGGCCGGCAGGGTGGCACATCAAAATCCCACAAAAAACAAACAAAAAAACAACAACTTTTTTTTTTACCTGTTGCAATGTAAACTAATCCATCTATAAAAATAAATACATACAAATTTAATGTATTGTTCATAAATTTAGCTAGCTTTTTGCTACTTTTAGTTTTTAAATTAGCACAATGCTACATTTTTCATTCAGCCTTTATTTATACAGCTTCGGGAATTCATTTACAAGAGAGACCTGAAGAGAGAGACCTGGTTTTAGCAAAGAGTACTGACAACAGTAGACAACAGAAGACAATCATAAAAAGCTTACAAATTGAGAAGAACAAATAAAATGGTATTAAAAAAATGAAACAAAAACAGCTAGGTTGTAAAGCAATGTAGAATGCTAAAAACAAGAACATGTCTGCATTGGTTTTTGCCAGGAACTTAGCAGATATTTGAAGCCACTTAGAGAGGTCAAGGTCGAGAGCTTCAAATCTTTTTGTAAGATATTCCAGGAAACAGGAGCGGAGTAGAAGGCCCTTTTGCCAAGTTCAGTCCTCACTGAGGGAACACTGCAGGTAATAATGTCCTGAGAGCGCACGCTGTAGCTGCACTCACGCAGAGACATGTAGGAGGAGATGTATGAAGGCAGCAGACCAAGAAGTGATTTAAAGATGAAAATGAACCAGTAAGAGAGTCTGTGTGAAGTTAACCAGTGAATACAGGGTGCAGTGGTAGGTACGGTAGTTACAGCCAATTATGACTCTTATGATAGACAGCGTTTGACGTGTGTGTGTAGGGGAATTCATGTAAATAATGTCACCGTAGTCAATGGAGGGAAAGAAAGTCACAGATACGAGGCGTTTTCTAGCATTCAGAGTTAGACAGGATCTGTTTCTGAAAAAGAAACCCAGTTTAACTTTCAGTTTCCTTACCAAGTGAAGCTTACATGGAGCTTAAAGGAGTGATGCGAGTCGACCAAGAGCTGGGACTGACTTCCTGTTTGAAAACAACATCCCTTTGATTTTGTCGGCATTTAGGACAAGTTTGAGACAGAACAAATCTAATGATGATGTCAAATGCAGATTGCAAAAGCTGGAAAACCTTAGCAACAGTTTTAGCTCGACAATAAACAACTGTGTCATCAGCATAGAAATGTATGGATGCATCAGGGATGCTCAGACCTACATTACCCATGTAGATTGTAAAGAGGGTGGGTCCTAAGACTGAGCCTTGTGGTACACCATTGCTGACGGTTAAATAACTAGAGGAAGTACCATTATGTTGAACACATTGCCTCCGGTCTGAAAGATAGTTAGAGAACCAACCAATGGTGTGTTCTGAGAAACTAATTTCTGAGAGTTTATGACACAAGATGTTATGATCCACAGTGTCAAAAGCTTTAGACAGGTCTAAGAAAAGTGCAGCACAATAATCCTTAGCATCCAGTGCTTCAACAACGTCATTAAGAACCTTCAGTGAAGCAGTGGTTGTGCTGTGTTGTTTCCTGAAACCGGACTGATGTGGAGGTAAGATGTTAAATGAGTCCAGGTAATTTTTGATTTGAGAGTTTATCAGTTTTTCTAGAACCTTGGCTAAAATGCAGAGTTTAGAGATTGGTCGATAGTTGTTCAGTGAGGTGGGGTCACCTCCCTTCAGCAAAGGAAGGACAAAGACTGTTTTCCAAGCATCTGGAATGGAGTTTTGTCTTATGGAGAGATTGAAGATGTGGGTCACAGGGACTGTGATGATATGAGCAGCCAGCCTTAAGAAATAAGGTGGAAGTTCATCTGGACCTGCAGATTTTTTAGGATCAAGATCTTTTAACAGTTTATTGACCTCACTGACTGAGAACGGAGAAAAAGAGAAGCTGTGATTAACTGAGGATTGACTTGTAGGAGGGATTTGATTTGTAGAAGTTTGGTTATTATGGGAAGTGGCTGATTTTCCATTAGTAACTGTGTCAAATAAAGAACTAGAAGCAACAAAATGTTTGTTGAGACAGTTCAGGATCTCGTGCTTATTTGACACAGGAGCAGAGTTAACGAGAAGTTGTGATGGGAGGTCAGATGATTGGGTAGTGCCTGAGAGATTTAATTGTTTTCCAGAATCTGTTAGGGTCATTTAGATTTTTGGAGGTCTGAGATAAGAAATAGTTGCGTTTTGCTGCTTTGACAGCAGTTGTACATTTAGTCCTCATCTGTGGAAAACTCAACCAATCAGTGTCTGAGTCAGATTTTCTCAGATTTACAGTTTTATATCATTAAGTAACGAGTCAATCTATTTTTAGCTAGTGTAATGATACATTTAGCTAGCCTCTTGGTATTTTTAGCTTTTAGCTAACCTTAGAAGCAGCAAAAGATTTGTACATTTAGCTCTCAGCTACACTATAGCAGCATTTAGTTACTGTTTTGCAAATTTTATTTTATTTAAAAATTTTTTCCAGGTGCCCCCTTTTTCAGGAGTCACCACAGTGAACTAAGCCTCATGAAGACTTGGCAGTTGTTTTTACGCCGGATGTCCTTCCTGATGCAACCACTGATCATTGAGCCGCCACAGCCTCTGTGTGGAGCAGAGAGCTGCTATCTAGGGTGCCCGGGGGAGCAGATGGTGGGGGCTGTGGGCCTTGCTCAAGGGCCAAGAGCGGGGCAAATGAGGGTGCAGGCAGGTATGGGTGCTTCACCTTTCCCACCAACATTTTGATGTTGTCAGTGCCGGGAATTGAACCGGCAACCTTCTGAACACAGGCCCACCTTCTCTGGCACAGAGGTTACACTGCACCACCACTCCCTGTTTTGCTAATTTTTATATTTTGCTTTAATAGCGTTTGGCTACTATTTTTGATATTTTAGATTTTAGCTATCCTCTTGCTACTTTTAGCTAGCCTTAAGCTACAACTAGTTTTTAGCTACTGTTCTGCTATATTTAACAACCACTTTAGCAAGAATTTTAGCTTCGTTGAGCTTGCTGCAACTTTCAGCTTCTCATTCACGCTGTGCTACTTTAAGCTAGAGTTTTACTTGTTTGAGACGCAAAACGAACAAACATTTTAAGTAAAAAGATAAAAAATAAACAAAACATCTTATGGAAACACAATGAGCCGGCTGCAAAATCCAAATATAAAATAACAAGAGAAAAACGTTGAGAAAATAATAAAAGTAGAGACTAAAATGAAGACAAAATAAAAACATAATTTCTTGTTTGTGCCTTTTTCTGTTTTATTTCTGTAATTTGCAGTGAAGTGTATCAAAGAAACTAACTTTAAATAAATCTACATGCTTTTAATAAATCAAATTTATTATACAAAAATAAGTTTTCAGCTGAACACCGCCCCCTGTGACCACATGCTGTAATGACACAATAAATATAAATAGTACATTTCTGTAAATCTTCTCATTTTACATAAATACAACTCTGCAGCTCTTTTCACCACTTTGTAAATAATAAGTCAGTCAATATGGATGAATTAGGAGCTGACATTTGATGAAATATGAAATTTAAAGGGAATTAAATGAATTATTTCAGACACAAATTGTTGATTTTAGCACAGACTGTGGGTTCGTTTTGTAAAACCTGTTATTTTTCTCTTCTCTTCATCTGACGGGGCTGTCTCTGATTTGATAACCGGGCCTGGAGGGTCCTGTGGGGTTCTGGGGGTCCAGAATCTGACAGGTTCTCGTCTAATAAGAGGATAAAACTCCATATTCGCTCATGGCTGCTGAATCATCATGAGGCTCAGTCTGACCCACATTTTCTTATTTTTTTATTTAATAAAATTTCCTGTAAAAACATCTTTATATTTTAGGCATGAAAGGAGTCTGGGCTATTTAAAAATCTACACACACGCACAATATATATATATATATATATATATATATATCATTAATGTGTGACTCTGTGAATCTGTTGTCGTTCATACAATGATTACTCTCTGAGCATCATTCAAATCCATTCAGTGCTTTGAGGTATTTTGCTAACAGAAAAATAAATAAACTACATGATTGCCCAGCTTTATTGGCAACAGGCAATAAAAAGAAGCCAAAGAGCAGGAAGTTTTCTGTTCATCTTTATATCATCTCAACAAATATTTATGTAAAAAAACAACATATTTACATTTATTTATTTACATATTTACAGATAAATATAAAATAAAATTTTACAGGATAAAATTCAGTTCTTCACAGAGACAAGAAAACAGTTCAGTTATTACTCCACTTTTACACTTTGGTTGTTGTTTTCCTAAAATAATAATAATACTAAGATCAGAATTAAATGAGTTTTAAAGCATAAATGACTCTTTAAAAAATTGTCTTTGATCCAAAACGAAAAGAAAGATTTTAAATTTAAACAGTTTTGAAGTTTTTAGGACGATTTTTCTGCTGTAAAACCAAAAATGTTGTGGCAGAGTCTTTATTTTTTTTAATTTAGTGAAACAAACCCGAATAAAATCATGTAAACCAAGTTAAGTAATATTCATTATAAATTATTCTAATGTGTTTCTTGTTGCGTTAAACTGTTTGGTTATCTCACAGCGCCACCTTGTGGACAAAACATGTCATTACAAACAAAAACAGGGTCAATTTGATTGTTTTATCATTTCTTTTTTTTAAAGTTTTTAAAATCTATAACGGATAGTTTGATTATTTAATAAGTCTAGATTGATGTTTGAAACATCTTGATACCCTTGCAGTGCACAGAACAGGATTATAAGTTAAATCTGGAGTCAGGTTCCTGTTAAATATGTTGATGGGGACAGTTTTGTTTGGAGGCCAGCGTTAATATCAGCTGGTCTGAGTCCTGCCATATGGTTTCTGCAGACACAGTGAGCCGTGCTGAGGAAGAGGTTTGAGGTAGTAGTGTTCGATCAGAGCCGGCAGGTTGGGGAACGTCACGTCGCTCTCCAGAAACACGCTGTCGCCCTGAAAACAACAAATACGCAGAAACAGATTTAAAAAACGACCAGTTCAGCTCGAAGAACACAAACTTTAGCTGCTGTAAATATTGTTTACCTCCTCAAACAGCCGGTAGTTCCTGGCTTTGTTTATACTGACGTCCCAAACCACCAAAACCTGGAGGAACAACAAAGTTCATCTAGACATTTATGCTCTTGCTCGTATTGAAAAACTGAGATGTTTTTATTCATTTGTGCTTTTATACCCTCGTGGTTTTGGTTCTGGAGTTTCGGATGCCGTAAAGTCCGTCCTGTGGAGATGCTTCTGTCTCTCTGAAGAGCCTAAAAAAACACATCAACATGTTTTATTTATTTATTATTAGTTATGACTTAATTCTATTTAACCCTGATAAAAAAAAAAAAAAAAATCATACACAGACCACAAACATGCATGTTAGGCTGATTGGTAAATTGTCTCTAGGTGTGAATGAGAAAGTGAATAGTTGTTTGTCTCGTTTGTCTCTATGTGTGTCCCTGTGATGGACTGGAGACCAGGGTGTCCCCCACCTCTCGCACAGTGATAACTGGGCATGGACACCAGTGACCACCGCCCCCCGAAATGGAAGAAGTGGGTAAATATAGTGGTGGATGGGTAACTTGCAGACTGGCAATAACATTGCACCAAGCCACATCTGTGACAACTAATATTAGCTGTGACAGCCAATATGATTATTGTTTATTGCTGCTGCACTGTGTGGCTTTATCATGTATAATAATAATAATAATAATAATAATAATAATAATAATAATAATAATAATAACAATAACAATAATAATAATAATAATAATAATAATAATAATAATAGTAATAATAATAATAATAATAATAATAATAATAATAATGTCATCACTGTATGTTTCCATACAATGGTGAAATTAGTCTCTGCATTTAACCCATTCACCACCAGGTGGTGCAGTGGGCAGCTATTGAAAGCGCCTGGGGGGCATTTTGGGGATAAGGTGTGCTGTTCAGAGACACCACAAGGTGTGCAGTGACCGACAATCAAACCTGGGACTTTTGGGTCCCGGGCTGGCTGCCCTGCCTCTACACCATCTCGGCCCCCATATGTGATGCAGTATCTATGTATCTACCTTACCACCATAATTCAATCTCAATGTCTGTGCAATAACCTGTCACACAACCTGTGTAGTTTATGTTAGTTATGTGCTATATATATCATGCAAATTTTACCTTATATTACTAACTTGAAACACTTCTTCATTCATCCTGCTTGCACCGTTAAAAATTCTATCATGTTGTTTACTATTTTCTATTTAGGACCTTGTAAATGTTACAATTACTTTTTCACTTTTTGGCACTTTAATTTTTTACCCTTATTGCATGCTTAGTGTATATATATATATATATATACATATATATATATATATATATATATATATATATATATATATATATATTGCGAGTCAAATTGGTTCTTCTCATTCTGAACATTTCATTGTACTGTTAACCTGCAGTAACTTGGACTTGAATTGTAACTAAAGAAAATTAAAACATGGTAGCTCCTCACCACCAGGGGGCAGAAAATTCCACAAAATAGTGTTCATTTAATCTTCTGCTGAAGATTCTCAGTCATCCAGGACATGATGAATTCAAAAAACGTTCAATACAAAAACAACTGGACTTTATTTGTAACAGAAGACGTTTCACTCCTCATCCGAGGAGCTTTCTCAATTCAAAGAGCAGAGAGTGAGGGATTCAGGTTATAAGGCTGACTGAGAGAAGATACACATACATATGTAGATTGACAATTCACACCTCAACACGTTAACAGTAGGGGGTTTCTTAAGGTCTTTGTTCCTCTAATTCACAGACGAGGTCCCTCTGTTCCCATCAGGTGTGAACACCGGCTGGGAATCTGTTTTAAAGTTGCATTATAGTTTTTTGAAAGTTGAAATCTGAGGCCTCCTCCTCTGTTAAGAGACGGCTTTTCTCTTTTTACATAAATTGCCTCCTTCACCCCCCTCTCAAACCATCTGTGTTCTCGGTCCAAAATGTGCACATTTTGGTCCTCAAAAGTGTGTCCCTTCTCTGTGAGGTGGAGGTGAACAGCTGAATCTTGACCTGAGGACGTGTTCATTTAATCATTTCAGATCCAAGATTTACATTAACATGTGTTTTTTTAAGGTTTACAAATAAAGATCAACAAGTTTACCAGAAGATAGATGTCTCACAATTAATAATGAGAAGAATTAATAACAATTTTTAAATCTTAATAAAAAAAAAAGTTAAACGTTCGAAGCAAGACGAAAAAATGTCCATGCTGAGGCATCAAAGTTTTTTATAAGCTTCATGTAAAAGAAAACTGACATGTATCTATTAAAATACACCAAAATAAACTTGTGGTAGAATGTAAAAATCATGTCATCCATGTAGAAATTAAACTATTTACAGATTTTAACCAGATTAAATGTACAGAAGTTATCATTACACTGTATAAAATAATTTTAATGCTTTGATTCCCTCACTGTTGAATACTTTTAATTAAAAAATCAAAACCTGTCCACTCGAGAAGATCCAGAAAATAAAACCTATAAATTTATTTTTATCAAACAACTCACAAAACTAAGAAACATCACGTTGTAGAGTCAGTTTTATACATTAATAAAATACTTATTTTTACACCTAAATGTGTTTTTTAATCTTTTTTAACCTGTGTGGTTAGATGTGACAACGAGTGGGACTCGTGTTTATTCATGTGCATTATTTGTTATAAACAAACAAACAAACAAACAAGTGTCGTACTTTTCGACGAAGGTGGTTTCCATTGAATTGATGAAAACGGATTTTGGCAGCTGAACCTGCAGACAGAAAAACACAAACAATGAGTTCTTTACAGAAAAATGAACTGCATCAATGAAACACGCCCTGATTGCACTAAAGACAGGAAGACAGAAATGCAGACTAGAAAGTAAGCCTCAAAGGAACAGTCGCTGAAGAGAAACTATACATTTTGTTTAGAAAATCCTGACTTGTAAGAAGCAGAAGGTTCTGATGGTCCCACGTGGTGATTTTTATGTTCCTAGTGTTTTGTGTAGGACATTTGACAAGGTAGGACGAGCCCTCACTGTTATTTTTAAAGCTCAGATTCAGTGGAAGTCAAGCGGGTTTGGGTGTGCGCACCCTGCTCTCTAAGGCAATGTGACACAAAACCATCAGTCCTACAGCAGCGACAGAAAACCGGGTGAAACAACACACAATGACCTTCACTTGGATGAGTAACCTGTAGAGGAAGTGTCACAATTGCAGGGGTGGAAGTAACAAATTACAAATACATTACTGTAATTAAGTAGATTTTTTGGGGTACTTCCATCCATCCATCCATCCATTTTCTTTAATCGTTTGTTCCATTTTGGGTCACGGGGGTCGCTGGTGCCCATGTCCAGCAATCACTGTGCGAGGGGCGGGGTACACCCTGGACGGGTCGCAAGTCCATCACAGGGACACATAGAGACAAACGAGACGAACAACCATTCACTCTCATTCACACCTAGGGACAATTTAGAGTTACCAATCAGACTAACATGCATGTTTTTGGTCTGTGGGAGGAAACCGGAGTACCCGGAGAAAACCCACGCATGCACGGAGAGAACATGCAAACTCCACCCAGAAAGGCCCCTGGACCGGGGTTTGAACCAGGGACCTGCTCCCTGAGAGGCAGCAGCTCTACCAGTTGCGCCACCGTGCTGCCCTGGGGTACTTGTACTTTTATGAATATTTCTTTCAAGTGTGTAATTTTACTCATACTTAAGTACAATTTAGATCATGTAATCTACTTCACTACTTTAAAAATCAGAAGTCGCTATGGAATACAGCCACAATTTGAATTAATATTCAAACTTTTCATCTTTGTAGCCAGTACGACTCTCAGATCACGATCGCATAAATTACCTACGATGAAAGCAAAGGACAACTCCGTAGAGTAGAGAGTCATTTATGGACCGAAGATTTGGAGAAAAAGCCTAAATGGAGACAGAGGACAACACTAGCAGAGAAAATGAGGAGGTAAAGGCTGAGGACGAGTGCACATGGCCGTACCTGCAGGAAAGTTTCATGTACAGAGGGTGGAAAGGAGACAGAGTCCAGACACAAACTTTGTTTGATCTCTACGGTGATAGCATCTTACAAGACTTCATCTAATCTCTAAAACATATTGTGGTATATGAGGTTTTACAACTACCTGTATGATACTGCTGTTTTATTGTTTGTATGTGTGGGTTATTAGTTTGCACTATTCGTACGGGATTAGTTTTACCTAGCGACCACATGTAATAAATAAATTACTCCCCAACGTCTGCTTTTTATGTGGTGCATTCACATGGGATAACCAAAGCCTGAGATTTAGCTGAAATTTACGGACATCTTCTGGTTATGATGTTAACACGCTGCGTTGTCACGACCCGGCCGGTCCATATAATGTGATTAATGTGCAGGCTGGGCCGGTCTCAGGTTCTGATGTGGTTTTACGAATCAGCACTAAAAAAAAAACTTAAGAAGGCACAATATAAAATAGTGTTAATCTACTTGTTGAGGAGGAGGCAGGTCCGACCGGCCGGTTTAAGAGGTAAAAAAAGCTAAGTTAAGCTCAGATGGACAGCTGTCACCGGCTGTGCGTGTGAGCGGCCACGCGTCTCCTGACCCGCTAGTTTAAATGGACTTGTGACCAGTCCACGGTGTCCCCCGCCTGTCGCATAGTGATAGATGGACATGGGCACCAGTGACTCCCGCTAACCGAAAAGGAAGACGTGGGTAAATATAATAGATGGATGAATGAAAGGATGGATGGGTCAGTTGATCACACGCACGTCTCCGCATCTCCTGTCATCTGCGGTGAAGGAAGTAGCAGCATAAAAGCCGAAGTGAAAAAGAAAAATACATACAAAAAATAAATAAATAAATTTAAAAAGCCGAAGTGAGCTGCACGTTAGTTTAAAATAGCCTTGTTTTATATTTTTCCAAATGATTTTGCTTAAGCCCTGTGATGGACTTGCGACCCGTCCAGGGTGTACCCCGCCCCTCGCACAGTGATTGCTGGACATGGGCACCGGCGACCCCCGTGACCCAAAATGGAATAAACGGGTAAAGAAAATGGATGGATGGATGGATGGATTTTGCTTAAACAAAAACAAAAAACGCTTTATTACGTTTCGGATCCCGCCCATTTCTGTCCAAATCACAGAGATGCCTATTAGCATTGGATTCGTATTATCACAGGACCTGGGAGTTCAGCAAAATCTAGCAGATAATTTGTGGAGGAATTTCTACTTTACAAATTACAGACATACATGGTCGATTCGCATGGGATTAACAACACAAACAATCTCTGAAATGATTACAAATAGCATGTAGTCCCTAGGTAAAACTAATCCCGTGTGAATAGGGCTTTAGTATTTTAGTATGCAAAGATCTTAGATTTTGTCACTGCCTTCAGTTTGCCTGGTACTAAAATAAGACGGAGCTTCTGAGCATCTAAGAAATGTGTTTGAATGTAGCGATTGTATTTATATTTATTATATACAGTAAATCAAACTGAATGTTTTCTATTGACAACAATAAAACAACAAGTGGTTAAAAAGTAATTAATACTTTGAGTAGTTTTTGAGAAGAGTACTTTGTACTTTTACTTAAGTATTTTTACACTAGTACTTTTACTTGTAATTGAGTACAACCTAAGCAGTGTAACTGTACTTGTACTTGAGTACAAATTTCCAGTACTATTTCCACCTCTGCACAATTGTGGGCTTGAGAAGAGTTGGTTTGAAAAAATGTCTGAAGTTCAGACAGCTCAGAGGTGACATCATCACACGCTACGTTCTCCCAGAATTCCTCCTTAAACTGTGATCAGGTGAGAACTGGTTAAAGAGCTGAAAGCAGCACCTCTGTTGTGTAAAGTCCAACTCTCAGTGACCTGTTTAAATCTGAACGATGGTTCTGCTGTGATCCAAACGAGACTCGTTTAAGCTAATGTTTCGGTGATGAATTACGATTTGTGTCCACAGCTTTGTCCCATCGCCTCGGCCTCTCTCACCGTCTCATAGTCGTCATCGGAGTCGTCTCCTCCACCATGTTTGTTCGAGTACGGCTTCCTCCTGATCTCTACGGGATTCTCGTCCACTAGCGAGCGAAAGCTCTGTCCGTCCGGAGTCGTTCTTCTGACAAGAGAACACGTCTTAGAGAAGCATTTTACACCAGTTCACAAAAACCTTTCAGATGTCCCCTCTGCCATTTCTATCCAGTTGAAAACATCTGCACATGGAGGACTAATGGCAGCAAGATTAGACTGAACATGGGTCTGAAGGTCCTGAAGAGGTGACAGAACGTCAGAACAAGATTGTTTTTAACAAATCTTAAGGCGATCAGCATTAACATGTGAACATCTCACATGCTGGCTGTAGAAAGATTAAACAAATCTGGAAAAATAAAGTTCGTTCTGAGCAGATGGACAAACAGCTGATCTAAACTGGACAGAGTCCGTATGGAAACTAAATCCTGCCCAGGGTTTAGAACCAGGTCCGAACAGAGGACAACTAAAACCAGATCAGATTAAAGGACATCTAGACCCAGGTTAGATAAAAACAGTAAAGTTTCAAGCTCTAAATTGGCAGAGTTGTTCTGTTTTAACCTGAACTCACATGCTCTCCCTTATCTCCCTCCTGAGGGTTCTTGTTGGTTGGTCCACATGAGAATTTTTTTAGTCCCAAACATGAAGGTGCTAATCATTTCTCCTGTATCTGATGCTGCTCAATAATCCAGGTAGAAATATCTAACAAAGTTAAGTCAGGTTCTGTGGACGCACTCTGCTTGTTGATGATCTGTCCAGAGGACCTGACTTAAGTTAGATCTCTCCTGTACACCAAGTTAAACAAAGAACCTAATGACCCTTAGAAAGGAGGGCAGGGACACTGCTTTGCATGTGAGTTCAGCTAACTGCAGTTTTAAAGGTTGGAAGTCCATACCTTTCAGTCTGAAATGAAAAAAAAAAATCTAAATTCAAATAAAAAGCAAAATATTTCCAATAAATCCTGATGCATGCTCAATAATCCAGGTAGAAAAGACTGAGGGAGTCTCTCGGATGAGAGACAAAACGTTTCTAAATTTTTTTGTTGATTTGCTTTGTTTTTTTTTTTTTTGAATGTCCAGAGGACCAGATTTAACCTTTTTAGATATTTCCAATAAACAAGGAAATATGTCTAGTCGACTCTTCTAACCGTTGTAGGACGTTCTGAACGACTGGTTCTTCACTGAGACTGTGGTTTAAGGTGAAAACTAGAATTTTCTTGGAGAAATAAAAAAACAGCATCATGCTACAAAAAGGAACAATCAAACTAAACTTTTATGACTATAACGAGTTTAAATAGTTCATATTAGATTATCTTAAAATTTGGGAAGTATTAGATGATTTTTGAATTAATGTACATGGATTTTATTTCTGATTCTGAACCAAACCAAAGCCTGTTTGTTTCTATTCTCTGTGTAAAACTGGATTAGGCACACTTCTCTCTGTCTTGAGTAATGGTACCAAACTAAGAGTATTTTTGTATATTTTTACTAACTTGATGGGTGTTGCTGGTTTGGGTATTGGAGGCTTGGCAAGCGGCGATGGGGGAGTCGGGGCCAAGTGGTTCCCAGTCTGAAAAGACCCTCCAAGAACTGCAGGTTGGGGAGTCGGAACACTTGGTTTATGTCCAACACAGTTTGGTACCAGCAACTGTGTCCCACCAGGACTTAAGACCGGCCAGTTCTGAAGACTTTTCTTTGGGGTGAAGGGAACAGGAGGCGGCAGGTATGATGGGGACTTTGGACGGTGGGGGGCACAAGGAGGTGGAGGCAGTGGGCCTTTGCCCGAGTCTTTCAGAGGGGGCAAAGGTGGGGGTTTCTTGGGGAGTGGACTCGATGGGGCTCTGTGCGGTGGCAGAGTAAATGGAGGCGGGCCTTTTATCAGATTTGGACTTGTATCTGGATGGGACGGTATGGCTGCCGGTATCGGAGGAGGAGGATAAGAGGGGGGCAGCCCCATGGGTCGTCCTGCAGAAAACAACAAAATCACATTTTTCTTGTTTCAGGAAAAGTCATTTCAGAGAGTACCTTTTGACCCAAACATCATATTTTTCTATCTAGCTTAAAAAAAAAAAACTTATCAAAAGCATTTATCTGATGCAAAACAAAATTATTTGGGTTGGGTCAAGACTCTTGAACACTCCTGTATGTGTCTGTGGAGTCACCTGAATGTTCCTGCGAAAGATCATTGTCTGGCTTCAGGTAGTCTTCATCGTCCTCATCATCATAATCTTCACACAGATAGATTAAATGTTTAATCGCAGCTTCATCTTTTATACTGATGTGTCAGAGTTCATGGTCTTACCATCGTCAGGAGTTTCAACGGGCTGTTTGATGTCCATGGGCCGTTCTATTGTGCCATAAAAACTGTCAGCGTCTGAATCTGAGTCACTGTGGAGACAAGAAAACAATATTTTGTTTTATTGTGTAGGATTCTAGGTGTATATTCTTAAAAGTTTATCAAAGTAGCAATTTATGCTCAACTTAGCTCATTAGCTAGCTTAAAACTGTACCTAGATATGTGTTGTTTAGGTATATTCTAATGTTCTAACTAGATCCAATATTTATGGAAAAAAAGCAAAGTTTACAAAAGAAACCTCTTGATATTTAACTCCATGTCTTTGCTATTTGGACATTGCAGTGTGGAAATTAGCTAGAAGCTAATTTTGGACCTAGCATTTTTAATTAGAGCTATCAAATTAGACAGATTACATTTAGGCCAAAATGCTAGTTTTTAAGGTAGCTAGCTACAACATTTATTTTCAATTCAGTTTATTTATATAACACCGAGTCACATCAGAAGTCATCTCAGGGCACTGAAGAGAAAAATTCACATACATAAAAATTAAATTAGTAACATCATTTATCTAAGAAATATATCTAAGGACGGAAGCCAGCAGATTGCCTTGGGTCTTCATTTCATTTTTATGACAACAAAAGGTAAAAATGACAAAATTCCCATGAACATTTACTTTTGCATATAGGCCTACTTTTTTAAAGTAGTAGAAGTAATTTAAAGTTCCTTAATGTAACAAGATTTCCTTAAGCTACCATGCTAACTAGCTTAAATGTATGTCAAAATGTGTCTTGATTTATCATACGCTAGTTTTATTTTTTTAGTAAGCTAACTACGATAAGTTTATGCACACTACGTAAATATGTCAGAAAACTTTGACTTCAAGTTTTTTGACGTGATCTAAGTGTTAAACCTACGTGCAGGCAGACACAAGAAACTCGGAGGTAAAATAAAGAAATAATTTATTATAAGAAAAGCAAAAGCTGTCAGGGCAGCAAACCTTACATGAAGGACGGAGTTGACGGAGGAACAGAAACAGAACATGACAGGTTTTCCAGCGCATTCCACAGACAAAGGAAAAAACAGAGACACTGAATATATGTGATGTTAATGAGACGACAAACACCTGGGGTGATTAGGATTCGAGGCAGGTGAGACAGGAGCTGACAACAAGGATGGAGAGCACGGGTGAGTTCAGGAAACACAAAGAACTAAACAGAACTAAATACAGATTCCCACAGTTTTTAATACTGGTTTAATATTTTATCCTACCAGTTAGCTTGAAGCTAAGCCAATTAGCCTGCATCTAAAATCCCAGCCATAAAAGCTAACTGGGCCACAAAATTGTTTTTTTTCCTCACTCGCCCTCGAGCAAGACGGATGCTTTTCTTTCCTCTCCTGCCTTCCTCCTGCGTTTTTGCTCTGTCCTGTGTATCGGAGCTTCTACTTACACATCTTCCGAATCGGTTATCTGAATCTGGCCTCCCCATTCGGTCTTGAATAGGCCAACTTATCAAATTGCTCCTGGGAATGTGTAAACTAAGAAGGCTCTGCTTTAACCACCCCCCGCACCCCCCCGAGAACTTCTGTGAACGCTTTTCAGAGCTGTGCCGACTGACACCAACATCTTATCAGGACCATGGTGCTATCTGGAAGTGCTTCATGGACAAACAGTGTTGCCTGGTGAGAAATGTAGGATTATCGTACTAGAGACATAAAATGATCGTATTTTGAGGGAAATTATCGTACACCCGTCATAACCAGAATAACAAATTGATTGATACACTATAGTAGTGATGGGTCCGCTTCCAGACCGGCTCTGCTTCTTTTTCTTTTCTTTTTTTTCTTTTTCTCACTCATGGGGCGGGCACAGCGGACTATTCAGCCAATCATGGCCGTTGTTCTGAGGCAAACGCAAACACGTCACTCGTAGGTCACATTTAGAAAAGCATGATTGGCTGGAAATTTCAGCCAATCATGCATCTGTTTGCGAACACAGATGCCTTCAGGGTTCACAAAAAAACTCGGACAAACAGTTGCGAGAGGCTGATGACAACCGATTACAACCACACATTCACGGAATGGTCAAATTATTGTACATTTGGCCTTTTTTGGTATTATACCATACCATACCATACCATACATTACCACTTTATTTATGAAGCACTTAAAACAGCTACAAAGCCAACCAAAGTGCTGTACAGACAAAACAACAGGTAACACATTATTGATCGTACATCGTACAGAGGGCAAAATTGTCGTACAAATACGATAATTATCGTACACCTGGCAACACTGTGGACAAATCTCACCGTCATGTCGTCAGATTCATATGTAATGTGTTTATAAATGTGCTTGCTGGTAGTTTTTTTGATGTCTTAAATCGTGTCCTGACGAGGACAAGGTGTGAAGAGATCTTTTTTTTTTTTTTAAATATCACTATCCTATCCTCATGGTCTTCAGTCAGACTGAAGAAGTCTTTCGGATGAAAGACGAAACGTTTCTACTTTTTTTTTTTTTTGTCTGGTTTTGTTTTTTGAATGTCCAGAGGACCTGACTCAACTTTTTTAGACAGATAATCTCACTGTACTTCGGTGCAATGATAATTAAACTTAATCTGATTCTGACATAGAAAAAAACCTGCTACGTTACATGACACTACTACAGTAGGGTGACCAGATGACCCGATTTCCTGGGACAGTTCCAGTTTTGGACGACCCGTCCTCTGCTAATGCTGTCCCTGGAAATGTCCCAGATTTTATCATTTTATGATGAGAAAAAATGTTGCGTGTTGACTGTTATTACAGTAGCTGGGTAGAAAGTGCGAGTGAGTATGTTGTGTGCAACAACAGCCAGTACGCTAGCTGGTCGTGCTGCTGTTAACATTACAGACAGAGAAGAAGAAGAATAGCCAAGTGCGCCGCCTTTAAAACAGCAGAAGAAGAGGAGAGTGCGAGCTTGTCACCACTGACGGGGAGCTCTCCTGTCATATGGTATGTGTGTGTAATGATTCTTGTTTCATGTCAATGCTGTGTTTTCTATCTGTCCTGCTAACGTCTCCCTTCAGCTTCTTCTTCTTCTTGAATTGTTTCATGGCGGTTAGCCGATCAACTGTGAAGCTGCATTATCGCCACCTACTGAACTGGAGTGTGGACAGGCTTCACTCAGCCCACCTGTGCTAATCCTAATCTGCACCTGTGTGCTGCCTTTTTGCACGAGTCAGGTCCTCAACGCCACCTGTCAATCAACCCAGTAGTCTTGTCTGAATGTTAACTGTGATATTTTCCATTCTGGTCAACAGGTCCAGTCTGGTCAACAGGTCCAGTCTGGTCAACAGGTCCAGTCTGGTCAACAGCTGAACCATTTTATTCATGAATCTTACATGAGTTTGCAGATGTAGCTTTTGGGCAGAGAAAATCATTTATCAGCAGGCTGTTGCAACTTGTAATCAGCTAAATTAAAGTTGAAAATAAATAAAGTACATTAAGTAGTTGTAGTTAAATAAATAAATTAAAATTAAAACCACAGAGACAACATTAATCCATGCAGTTGTTTATCTAATGTTGTTTATCATAAAGCTAACTAAACTAGGCTCATTTACTTGGAGTTGTACAAATGGTTTTTTTTTGTTGTTAAATGCGTTTTGGCTGTTTTAATAACCAAATGAAAGGACAACAAAGTGTCAATTTGCTACCTGGACAAATGGGACTCTCTTCTGTCGTTATAGTGATCGATTTCCCTTCGCAGATATCGCATCCATTTCTGTAAAACAAGCAGCGATGAGACATGAGACAGATCTGAGAAAGCAGCTCCAGATGTTGAGTACCTGCAGTAAACGCACAGCTGGCGTTAACTACGTCTTATTTAATTTCTGAGAGTTTGCGAAGTCGTCCTCACCCGTCGCTCAGCCTCACTGGCTGCAGAGAATATCCACGTTCTGTGCTTCTTACTGAAATGGACGATTTTAAAAGGAAAAACGTTGCTGGACGTCGTTTCCTCTGCTGCTCTCATCACCCTGCAGGAAAAAGAATACGTGAGTTATTTTTTAGAGAATATACCATAAAAACTAAATCAAGGCTATTTCCACCATGTATAAGTATCGGCTGATATTTAGTTTGTTTACAACCACTAGATCAGGGCTATTCAACTGGCGGCCCGCGGGCCATTTCTGGCCCGTATGTTGACTTCAATCCGGCCCACTTATTAAAAAAAAAAAAAATCGGGGGAGGGGTGTTGGGTTTTGGGTTCTGTTTATTGCATTTATGATTCAAAGCAACAAATTAAAATGGTAGAAGATCATTGTAAACGTTGGTTTATTTACATAATAATTTTGATCGCTGGATGTCCGGCCCCAGAGCAGTTTTGTTGAACAGCTCATTCAAAATCAGTGCACTAAGAAATTACAGTCCTTTAAAACTATTGGTTGTTTCGGGTATTTGTGTTTGGATCATGGTTCTGTTGGATCCAGTTTGGTCCCAGCTTCAGGTGTTGGACTCCAGAACCCTTTGGTCTACAGCGAAGGTCCTGGTCCACTCAGTGACTGACAGAAGCCCAAACCATCAGCCTCCACTACTGTGCTGACAGATGGAGGGGTTAATTGCTGCAGTGCATTCTGGGTAAACATCTGTCCTCTGGTCTGGTTTGGTCCAGAAGTCTTGTGGTTCCTTCAGATGAAATGTTCCAAATCTAAGTTGAACTGCGATATTGTTTTAGAGCGAGGAGGTCATGACCTTTGAACTTTGACCTGCTGACTGAAGCCTGTAGAGTCACTGCTCAGTCTGACCTTCAGGGTGAATCTGTTGTAAAGATTGTCAGCTGTCCTGAATGTTTTCCACCTGTTTATAATCCTCTCTTTAGAACAGTGGACTCCAGATATTGGAAATGACATTTCCCAGATTGATGGGCAGCAAGGTTATTGCTGATGTCTTTCCTTCTTGGCGTTATGTTATTCTCCCTCTTAAATTCTGTGGATATGGTGGAATCTGCTGTGATTTTTTTCACTTGGGGTTAATTTCAATAATTCTCTGACCAGATCATGTCCTGACTGGAGATGCTGGACTTTATTTCCCCCTTGACTGCTTATCTGTACATCTTTGGTTCAGGCTGCTAACTGCACCTTCACCTGCCGTCTCTAAAGAGTCTCCTTTAGTTTGTTTGCTGCACCAAATTTCCAATGACAGTTTGTAAGTTTTGGTTACGTTTCTTTAAACCTCAAACCTCACAGTAGACATGGTTCAGCGTAAACTAAACCTTCTGAGTGCCGACACACATTAAACTGTCACTTTGAGGAGAATGGAAAACTGATTATAGAACAATTCTGGTAAGAAAGACTTAAGACTTGTATTCTGACCTGTTGTAGCCGTTGAGAGAGAACGCTCCCTGTGGTGAAGCCGAGGTGCTGCTCTTAAAGTAATACACACATCCTTTGTGGATGATGATGTACCTCAGGGGCCCTGCACACCAACATATATGAAAAAAGCTCCCATAAGTCCACACTGGACACTTTATTTTCAAGGCTGGACTGAAGCAGAAGAGATAGCAATCTGTGAAGTGCCCCCCCCCCCCACACACACACACACCCCGGCTCCGTCTTTTCCACTCACATTTCATCAGACTGAACTGGCTGCCTCCCTTCTTGTGCAGATATCCAGCAGTGGAGACTCCTCCGGGCATGGTGAGGAGGTTCTGAGCCCCGATGGCTCGCATCGGCACCGGCCAGCACATCTCTGGAGACGACATGGTTCTGGACAGACAAGAAGAAAGAATGAAAATTACATCATGGCCGTCGAAACGTGTGGAAAGGAGGATGACTGCAGCTTTGACAGGAAATGAGCTTTAAAAACAAATAAAGATCAATCAGTTCAACTTTCAGTTTCTTTTTCATAAACAGACGTTAGTGTCACACTTAACACTCAGCTTTTATAAATTCAATTCAGTTCAGTTTATTTATATAGCGCCAAATCACAACAAAGTTGTCTCAGGGCACTTTACAGGAACATTCACATCCATAAAAGCCAATTAGTAAAGTTCTCTATCTAAGGAATCCAGCAGACAAGATGAATCAATAAATCATCACTGAAATAAATAATACAAGTTTTTAGTCGAAAAAGTAAAAAGAATAAAAAAAAAAATATTAAAAATCAGATCCCAGCCATTGGTAATCATGTCCTTTATTCAAGTTGTTGACCAGTGTTTTTGCTCATGTCCATGTTTCATTTACCTGTACTGTTAGCCAGGGCTTAATTTGTAAACTGATCGATGCCGGAACACAAATAGCAGGTGGGCCATTTGAGGGAGTGGAAGGTAGGAATTTTGAATAAAGGAGATGCATTTTCCTGCATTTTGGTGTATTTTTAACGGGTTGTTAAACATCTACATTTGTAAACACTTGCATCCTACCCCCACCACCACCACTTGACGGTTCCAAGCTGACTCTTCTCCACTGAATATACTGTCTGACTCCACATGTGAAACCTCCAGGCACTCACCCCCACCACTCTTTTAGGGGCGCAGATTGTTTTTTTTCAAGGGTAGAGGCGGAAATGCTTCACTTGAATGGGCTGATGATTGTGATTATATTAAGAAGTGGTAAGTGGCTGTTGTGTTTAAAATGAGTGTTTATGTAATTATTTTCAGTTTACATATCCAATATAAGTTGTCTTGGTTGAAGGCAGTCATATTTGTTCATAACTTTAGTATAAGTAAGCCTGACAGTTGCCGGAACACACCCTGTCAAAATTAAAAAGTTCCCAGATTCTGTTCCAGCAGGATCTGGCTCAAATTAAGCCCTGCTGTTAGCAAAATATCTCATGAACGACTTAACAGGTTAACACCTACAACTGATTTAACTTTTGGAGTGAGCCCAGTTTAAGATGGCTCCTATTTTAAAGCATTATATCAAGCAAAACTGATTACAGCTTAGTCAACTTTACAGATATTGCGATACAGTTGGGTGTGGTAGTACCTGAGAGTCATACCAAAGTTATGATCTGAGCACTAACTGGTCACACAGGAATAAATAAACTAAAATAATAATAATAACTAACTAAGAACTCTCAAAGTAATAAATGGATGTCCATCTATGACTGATTGGACTCAAACTAATCCAAGATGGCCACCACAGCCATCTGACCGTACACCACTCATCCAGTTTCACAGGTATGGAACTAAACTTTGGTGTGGTAGTAGCTGAGCATCGTCCTCCACAGATACTTTAAAAGGAGCACATTGTGCAACTTCTCTTCTTAAAACGTTGACATTAACTGTTGGAGTCGACCATTTGTTTGTTGGCAAATTGTTTACATGTTTACAGTATGCTGTAAACAACCAGGTCGATCAGCATGTTTCACAAGTAGGTTAAAACAGACAGGAGAGCCATCGATGGAAGAAAAACACTCAAATCACACATTAAAACCAACACATAGAATAAACCAGACTAAAACAAACAAGCGGTACGCTGACGCCTCCGTCACTGAGGGAATTAAACAGTGAGTGTTTGTAATTTTGGAGATGAGTGTTTTTTTTACACTGGAACTGAAAAGAAAATGAAGTAAACCTAAATGTTTTTGCTGCAAGATATGCAAGTGGTGGAAGTTACACTGTGGAGAAGAACAGAACGGGGGTGGGTTATTTCTTGTCTGAGGCAGAGAGTGATGGATCCTGGAGAATGGAAGGAGCCATTTTATCCATGATCAGGTGCAGTGGAGGAGCGGGGGGGGGGGGGGGGTATGACTACTGACTGTTCGTCAACCTAATTGAAAATGTCCACCTCAGCTAATCAACAAAAGAAAAATGTCTCATACTCAGTGGATTTTAAATGTTCTGTTAACATCTGGCGTGGCAGCAGCTGACAGTCACAACACAACGTCCAACAGATCATTTCTCTGGTTTGAACTAAACAACAGATTAAAACTTGTAATTTATTTGGGACTTGTTTCGTCATCAAACAAGCATTCCTCGAAGGAGTACCAAACAAAGATCCCAATTAAGGATCACTCTCAGCTACTACCACACCAACGTTTAGCTCAGATCTCCTGAGTGTTAGCCATGTTTGTGAGGGGCTCTGTGGTTCTGCTCCGACCTGCTCAGGTGTTTCCTACCTCCTCTTGAACTTCCTGTTGAAGCTGTGAGCAGCAGCGCCCTCCCTCAGCACGCCAGCCACCGAGGACAACGCGCTGGACGCTGCCTCTGGCAGCAGGTCCAAGACGGACAACCGGTTGGACCCTTTTCTTCCCGTTCCCTCTGGGTCCATCTGACCTGATCCAAGCCTGTTCTCCAGCCTGGTCCGATCAGACTCTCGTCTCGTGTCCCTCTGGCTGGTTTTGATCCCACTCAGCCTGAGACAGGAGGGCACACCTCCATGGAGTCAGGCCCGTTTGGATCAGACAGGAAGCCGTAACATCCTGGACGATTAACTGGAGAGGCTCGAAGAAAAGACTGCAGAGGGAGTGAGTGTGTAAACACGTCTAACGAAGATGTTATCTTCAAATGTGTTTATGTTCAAACTCCCGTTTATCCACAGAACATCTCTGAGGGTGTTCAGCATGAACTCTCCCCTCTGGTTCTGTTGTTTCGTGTCAGGATGAAAACTGCACATTTTATGAGAATGAGGTCATTTTTTGGCAAAAAACAAATGAAAGAAGTCTTCGTCAGAGTTAAATCAGACGAAGACATGTCCCTCCTGCCTACTTTGAAAAGATAGTTTTGTAAAGGCACAAAATAAAGTTTCACCCGAACATTCTGCGAGTCAGAACTTTGCTTTCAAAATAAAATCCTTACAAATGTGTATTTTTAGGTTTTATCCTCAGAGCTGAACTGAGATTTAAATCATTTTATTTGATGTTCTGGAACGAGTTATTCTGGTCCAAACTGGAAAATAACCAAATGTGTAATTTCACACATTATTGCAAGACCTGACAGGACTCGTTCGCGCTCAGAGCATGTGTTGGGGATGACTCTCAGCTACTACCACAACACATTTCATTTAAACTTCTGTCAAACTGACTGAGGCTTTGCTGTGTTGGTGCAGGTCAGTTATCTGTGAACACCTTCTTTTAAGTGTTTTTTGTGTGAGTGATTGTCTCTGTGTCTCTGTGATGGACTGGACAGATGTCCAGGTGTCCTCCGGCTCTCACACAGTGACTGCTGGACACACCAGTTCCCCAAGACCCAGAGAGGAGCGCTTGTCCTCTGCGTCCTGATGTCCCGAAATGCTAAAAGTCCATCACCTTGAGACGGTTGGATTTTATGACGGATATTTAAATTCAATAATCACTTTTCTTCGTCAATTAGCTGTTACAAAAATTAATTAAATAGAAAATTTGTCTAAAATTTCAAGCATTTCTGATTATAATCTTTATTTTTGTCATTGGCTGGTAAAGAATTGAAAGTAAATTAAATCATGTTTCAGCGTTAGACCCATTCATCTTTCTCTTTGTCTTTTTCTATTCTGAGTGTTTTTAATTTGAGATAATCAGAAAACTACAATTTCACAGTGAAGTGCAGGAGCAGCTCACAAAACCTTTCAACACATTTCCCCAACACGTCGGGGCTGAGCAGACGTTTCTGCTGATTTTCACTTTTGACATTATTTTCTCCTTCGCCTGATGAACTTGTAAAAAAGGCAGCAGCGACAGACGCGTAGAGGCTTATCACAAACACTGATGTGGAGGAATTCACATCAAAATGATGGATGCTTGGGCGGGACGTCAAACAACCAGTCAGACATCCAGCTTATCTGTAGCAGAGTTTAAAGAATGCAGCTTTTTTTTTTTTTAAGGAATCTGTTGCACAACTTTTCAATGATTCCTCCTGTATTTTAAAACGACATGCAGCATTAATTAAAATAAAAACAACATAAGTTGATAATAATAGTCTTTTTTGTTGAAAATTCCTTCCTTAAAGAGCTACAAGATCTCAGAGAGGTTGTCAAAAGACCAAAAACTTCTCTTTTCTGGAAGAAGCAGAGTAATCGCTCTGGTTTGGGTCGACAGAATCTGAATCCAAAAGAGATTTGAGATAAAAAAAATAAAATAAAAAAAAAGAAATCCCCGGAGAGCCTTTCTGGTAAATGACCTCATTACCAAGCAAAGAAGGAAAGACGTAAAAGGCAATCTTCTCTGACTAGAAGAAATATTTTAGGACCAATAAGACAAAGAAGAAAATCTGATTTAAGGCTATTAAAATAAGTGTTCAGTTTTCTTCTCAGTTGCTGAGTTTCTTTAACGTATCAAAGATCCTCCTCTTCAATTCAAATAAATCATTTTTCATTCATTCAATCTTTATTTAAACAGGTTAATCCCATTGAGCCTCAGGGACTCATTTACAAGAGAGACCTGATTTTAACAGAGTGATGACGACAGTGGACGATCATAAAGGATGCGTACAAATGGAGATTTTTTTTTTTAAACAAGTGAAAATAAAAATGGTATTTAAAAGAAAAAGTAACAAAAAACAGCTAGATTAAAAGGCGGTGCAGAAAAATTCAAACAGGAACATGTCTGCATCGGTTTTTGCCAGGAACGTAACAGATGTTTGAAGAGGTCAAGGTCGAGAGCTTCAGATCGTTTTGTAAGATATTCCAGGAAACAGGAGCGGAGTAAGAGAAGACCCTTTTGCCAAGTTCAGTCCGCACTGAGGGAACACTGCAGGTAATGATGTCCTGAGAGCGCACGCTGTAGCTGCACTCACGCAGTGACATGTAGGAGGAGATGTATGAAGGCAGCAGACCAAGAAGTGAT